TAGTCTCTATATAAGTAGTTTTGGGTGTGTGTTTGTGTGTATGTGTGCGTGTGTGTCTGTATGTGCATTTGTGTGCAATATATACTTATATAGTCTTCTGAGCCATGGATTTCTTATTTAGTGATGTATCATAGTTTTGAATAATTTGATAGAATTCCCCTGTATGGGGAATATATTTTATTTGATTATTTATTTATTCTTCTTTCCTTCCTTTTATTTGTTAAATATGTACATGAAGTAGATGTTATTTTATGCTCATTTTATAAATTATGAAACTGAGATACTAAGAGGTTAAGTTTTTGGCCATTTCACACAACCATACGTGGCAGAGCCTGGGTTTGAATCCAAGGTGTATCTCTTTTGCGGAACATTGGGATAAATCCATTTTTTTCCCTTTGATTACAAGCAGTGCTACAGACCACTCCTCATCACATCCAGTGGAGAGCCTGGAGGTGAACACATTCTTAGAAGTAGGGCTTTCGGTTCCAATTATTAGAAGTGGGATTATGGTTCTATATTCACATGTAGAATTTCATGAAAGTTGCTTTGGAGGATGTTCTCCAGCAATGTACAAGATAGCCCATTTCTTTTCATTTTCCCAAGAGCTTTTTAGACATTTTGCCAGTCTACTAGGTGAGAAATGGACTCATTTGTGTGTAGATTTCCTTAACTTGAGGCGGAGTTTTAGGGCATTGTATAATTAGAATCTTTTCTTTTTTTTTTTTTTGAGACAGAGTTTTGCTCTGTCACCCAGGTGTACAGAGGCGTGATCTTGGCTCACTGCAACCTCTGCTTCTGGGTTCAAGCAATCCTCCTGCCTCAGCCTCCCAAGTAGCTGGGATTATAGGTGCCCATCACCACGCCTAGGTAATTTTGTATTTTCAAGACATGGGGTTTCACCATGTTGGCCAGGCTGGTCTCAAACTTCTGACCGTGTGGTCTGCCCACCTTGGCCTCCCAAAGTGCTGGGATTACAGGTGTGAGCCACTGCACCTGGCCCAGTGTTTTTCTTTCAAGAGTAATATTCACTCAATTTAAAAAAGTAGTTATTTAGTGAGCATTTAGAAACATATGCATCATAATTTACTTTCTTAAAGCACACCTTCTTGAGAAATGGCTGTATGGAAATCTTTTACATAGAATATAGGATAAATCATATGTTAACTGTTACTCTATTCATTTTTACTCTAAATTATGGATTTGCACTTTTGATAAATGTATGTTGAGTGAAACGATATATATATAATAAATTTAATCAAATAAATATATGTTGACTAACCCAGTCTGTATTCTGGTCAGTCTTGTAAAATGCTTCAAGTGTGTCTAGCTTTGTGGCAGGAGTGGGAGGGTAGGGGGTGATGTGAATCTTTGTACTGAGAGCTAGATATACTTTCTGAATGTTGCATCTGTGTTGTTCCTGGGTATCTGGTATCTTGAGTCTCTCTTTTCCTTTCTCTCTATGCTCTGGCCACAGCAGCTCCTTTTCGTTCTTCAAATGAGGAAGTCATTTCCGTTCGTGTCTTTGCCATCTCATGCTTCCCTTTGTCTGGAACGTTCTTCCATGGCAGGTTCTTGCCTCATCGTCAGGTCAGAAGTCCCCTGCGCAGAGAACCATTTGACCGTCCAATCTCAGGTGGTCTCCTTTAGGTATTCTCTGCCTCGCTCCCTTTTAATTTCATATGGGATCATGCCTCACAAATGTAATGATTTCTGAAATGATTCATTTCTTTGTTGCTTGTTTCTTCTATGTAACAGTAAGCACTGAGCGGGCAAGGTCTTTTTCTGTTTTGTTCATGGCTGAATTCTTAGTGGCTAGAAGAGTATCTGAGTACAGAGTAGGTGCTCAATAAATATTTAAGTAAATAAATGAAAACTTGATATAACATCTTGCATGTTAATTATGAAAGAGGCAAGTCATCCTAGCATAGAATGCATACACATATTCATACATGTCAAGAAATTCCCAAAGGTTTGTGGAATTCTATTGTGTGATTCTTGATTGTAGCCTTTTTGCAATGATCACAGCTGCAATCCCCAGGGCAGGCCAAACTGGTAGAAGAGAGAAACGTGGCCAGAGTGAGAAGGGCCCAGTTTTCACCCCTGTCCTACTGCTGGCCATCTGCTGTGAGCAGACCATGTCATTGAACTGCTCACACGTCGGCTTCCACTGTGGAAGATGGAGACAGAAATGCCTGCCCTCCTTCCCTCACCAGCTGTCCACCTCTGTGCAGGAAGTGTGACTGTGGATGTGAAGAGCATCTCAAGTACACAGAACATTCTATTCAGTTCCAAGTGGGTCTCCCCAGCATCCCACCATTGGCTTCTTGAGTGGAAAATAGCAGAGAAAACTTGGGATTTTTCTCCAAAATTGCCGTAACTTCTATCAGATCTCATACTGCAGCTGATGACTTTTAGAATGTGTTATTTACTTTAGATCTCAAGAATGATCTGATCTTGCAAAAAGTAGAGTTCAATTTCTGGCAAAGAAAGAGAGACAGAGAGAAAGAAAGAGAAAAAGAAAGACAAAGGGAGGGAAAGAAAGAAGATGGACCCACTCTATGTACAACAAAGGATATCATGTATATATGTCATATATTTATATATAAATTATTTTAAATTAACTAGTATTTATATTACATACATATGGTAGAGAAATGAAACAATGCAAAAAAGGATAGAATGAAGAGAAAATTCCTCTCCAACCCCAGACTGGTCTCACTTCCTGGGGTTAGTGAGATTCCTAGTAGATTCTTGTATATCTGTACAAAGATGTTTATTAGAGTCAAGCATAAAAATGTGTGTACTTCTGTGTATATGTATAGTTTGTTTTACACACATGGGTTCACGTTATACAGTCCTGTTATATACTTTGTCCCTTTTCTTTTATGTTGAAACACTTTTCAAAAATTTTTATGAATGCTCAATATTCATTTTCTTCTATGTCACAATTTTTTGAATGCAGTCCACCAACAATGGACATTTTTAGGTATTTTCCAGTTTTTGCTATTTAAACAATGAGGTAGTAATATCCTTGGGTATACACTCATGCATACTTGATACTGTATTTCTAAGAGAAGTCTAAAAAGGAAGTTATTCTTACAAAGTTGTGTACTTTTGAGGAATAAAATGAAATTTTCTTTAAAGAAGTTGTACCGGGTATACTCTGATGAAGAGTGCTTGTAAAGGTATGTTTTGCTGTATGCGTGTGTGTGTGTGTGTGTGTGTGTTTTAGTGTTTTACAAGAAGAGGGTGTTCTTGGCCAGACCAACATTTTAAGGGATGTTCTTGGCCAGGCGCGGTGGCTCACACCTGTAATCCTGGCATTTTGGAAGGCCGAAGCGGGCAGATCACAAGGTCAGAAGTTTAAGATCAACCTGGCTAACATGGTGAAACCCTGTCTCTGCTAAAATACAAAAAAAATTGCCTGGGCTTGGTGGCATGTGCCTGTAATCCCAATTACTTAAAAGGCTGACACAGGAGAATTGCTTGAACCCAGGAGGCAGAAGTTGCAGTGAGCCGAGATCCTGCCATTGCACTCCAGCCTGGATGATAGAGCAAGACTCGGTCTCAAAAAAAAAGGATGTGCTTGTCCCTCTGCTCCTTGGCTCAATCCTCCCCAAATCTGTTCTCTTTATGGCAAATTGACCATCTAAAAATTAAACCTAATCCTATCCTACCTTTCTTACAATTTTCCAGAGCGTTCCGCTTGCACGTGAATATCTGAAATGTACTCAGGACACTGTGTGATCCAGAGCCTGCTGAGTTCACTTGCTGTGTCACACCATATTCCCCTAAATCCGTGCCTGAGCCCAACATACCTCCTTTAGTTCCTCCAGTAGCCACACGCTCTTTCCTTTGTCGCTGTCCTTATATAAGGTCTTCCCATGGACTAGCAAGTTTTTCCACTTACTCTTGGTTTCTCTAATTCCTGCTCATCCTGAAAATCCAGGCTGGGATGTAATTGATTTGAGATGCTTTTTCTGACACATCCCCATCTAAATGGTGGGGGTAGCCACTTGCTACCTGTGAACATGTAAATTTAATTAAAATTAAATAAAAATTTAAAAACCCAGTCCTTAGTCATCCTAACCACATAGTCACACAAGTAGTTATCAGTGGCTACCATATTGAATAACACAGATATAAAATATTTCCAGGCTGAGTGCATTAGTGGCTCAGGCCTGTCACCCCAGCACGTTGGGGGGCTGAGGTAAGAGGATCACTTGAGGCCAGGAATTTGAGACAAACCTGGGCAACATAAAGAGACCCCCATTTCTACAAAGATTAAAGAACTTAGTTGGGTGTGGTAGCTGGCACCTTAGTCCTAACTGCTCAGGATGCTGAGGTGGGAGGATTGCTTGAGGTCAGGAGTTTGCGACCAACCTGGGCAACATAAGGAGACCTCATCTCTACAAAAATTAAAAGACTTAGATGAGCATGGTGGCTGGCACCTGTAGTCCTAACTAGTCAGGTGGCTGAGGTGGGGGATCATTTGGGCCCAGGAATTGGAGGCTGCAGTGAACCGTGATCGTACCACTGCACTCTAGCCTGGGTGACAGAGTGAGACCTGATCTCAAAATAAAAATTAAAAATTAAATAAAGCACTTCGATAATTGCAGATAATTCTGTTGGACAGTGCTGCCCTATTCACAGGGGCACAGCTTGTCTTGCTTCTTGCTTTTTCCCACATACTAAATGTTCAGTAACTATCTGTTGAATGAATGAATGTGTGAATGAATTAAATAATTCCAGCTCTTAGCTTTATTGTTGTATTCTTAATATTCAGTGGACTTTCTGGGAAGGTGCTGAATGTTCTACACCTTTTTTTTTTTTTTTTCCCTAGAGTCAAGCCCTTTTCTTGTGGAGAAACCATTCTCAGTAACTTTTGGCATAACTCTGAGAGCATTCAAGTTCCTAGGTGAGGTGGGTGGAGGATCTTTGGAAGTCTTTGCTGAGAGTGCATCACAGCTGACCCCTGCCCGCCCTTGACTCCCTCCAAGGTGCTGATCCTGAGAGCCCTTCCCAGTGAATACACCACCTGCAGGTCTTCTTCTTGGTATCTGTTCCTGCAAAACTCAGTCTCCAGCAACCTGATGTATAATTGGAAATCTGCAACGTTAGACCAAACTTCTAAAGAGGGACTCGAGACCTTTTGCAAAAATGTGGTTTGATTTTTTGGCCCATGGTTCTCCCTTTATTTTACTCAATGTTCTCAAAACTAAAATGTAAAATGGCTCTTTTTTATTTTATTTATTTATTTTTTTTGAAACAGAGTCTTGCTTTGTCACCCAGGCTGGAGTGTAGTGGTGTGATCTCAGCTCCTTGCAACCTCCACCTCCCGGGTTCAAATTATTCTCCTGCTTCAGCCTCACGAGTAGCTGGGATTACAGACACACATCATCACACCCAGCTAATTTTTGTATTTTTATTAGAGGCGGGGTTTCACCATGTTGGCCGGACTGGTCTTGAACTCCTGACCTTGTGATCCTCCTGCCTTGGCCTCCCAAAGTCGTGGGATTACAGGCATGAGCCACCGCACCCAACCTAAAATGGCTCTTTAGTTTAATTTTCATAAAATGGAAATTTGGTAGATCATATTTTATTTATTATGTTATTAAAATGCCCCAGTCTCCTCAGTAGATTCATATACTGAAAAAATATATATAAAATACCTTAACTGGTTCATTACATTGAACTTGCACTGGGTAAAGGGTCAGCATCAACTGTGTTTTTTGCTGGGAGAAAGAAGCTCCAAACAGTAGGCAAGATTTCTATGCCTTAAAGAAACGTTACTTTAGCTTTTCTGGCTTCAGAGGCCTAATAACAGCTCTTCCTGAGTACCTGTTTATCCCGCCATAAAAAGGGAATGCTGGTTGTAGCTCACTGTAGCCAGAGGGAAGAGAGATGCTTTTGTCTGTGGCGTTGATTCCACTTCAGTCCTGAACAGGGTATTTGGCCTTCAAGCCTACTGACTGAGGGAGACAATTTGATTTTATTTCCTTATAACTGTCAGTTTCATTAGGCAGCTATACATTTCTGGGAATATTTGTATAATAGATGGAATTATAGAAGTTATGCTGACCAGCAGATGTTTTGAGATTTAGTAAAGATTTAGAAAGAACTGGCCAGGCATGGTAGCTCACGCCTGTAATCCCAGCACTTTGGGAGGCTGAGGCAGGCAGATCACCTGAGGTCAGGATTTCAAGACCAACCTGGCCGACATAGTGAAACCCCATCTCTACAAAGATAAAAAATTGGCCAGGCATGATGGTGGGTGCCTGTAATCCCAGCTACTTGGGAGGCTGAGGAGGAAGAATCGCTTGAACACAGGAGGTGGAGACAGCAGTGAGCAGGCCATTGCACTCCAATCTGGGCAACAGAGCGGAACAAGACTGTCTCAAGAAAAAAAAAATTTAGAAAGAAGTACATTTCCTGGGCTGCTGGGGTGCCTCTTAGTGAGATCAACAATTTTACACACAGGACTGAAAAAATTCTTTATCGTACAGAAATCAGTTTCTGAGGTTAAATTCATTTGAGAGAGACAGACACTGGATCAAGTATGTGTGAAGGAGATTGGACATTTTCTTGGCATTAAATTTTGAAGCTTAGTTTTCAGACACAGATGAAGTTGAATATTATAAAGTTGAAGAAAAGACCTTTTGTTAGACTAATTGCTCTAATATTAACTCAAGAATGGGTCAACTTTCTGCTAGTTAAGGTCATTCTAGGGAATTTGATCTTGATTTAAATAGGCGTTATGAATACAAAGTTAGAAATACCAGTGTCTTCTTTTATCTTCCAAAGGTTTAGACTGAGAAGGGCACTGGCATATTAGCTGGAGGAAGACTAATAGGGAGACTATAAAGGCAATGTTTCTTACTATTCTCTGATCTAGCAAGGCATGCAAGTGAAAATTATATTAAATTTAAGGGAGAACATATTGAAAGAATAACGTCAGTTCACGTTTTGAAATCCTAGAAAAGAAAAAAAAGGAACCAGCATAAATAGACATTCAGAGTAGACAGAGATTTGATATTAACTTCTTTGATCCCTGTCTTTGCTGATGGGGAAACTGAGTTCAAGTGAGATTTCATGATTTCTCTAAGATTCTGGCCTCTTAGTACCCACATTTTAAGGCTGTAAAGGATATAACCTGGTGGCTTAGAGCATAAAACACTGGGAGGTGGTAGACAGACAGACAGATCTTTCTTTACCACGGATACATTGTGATTCTGAAATGTTACTTAACCTCTCCTAGTTTCTGTTTTCTCAGTTAAACAATGTCAGTAATTATGCCTCTTGAATCACAGGGTTGTCTTGAATATTAAATAAAATAATTGCTGCAGAGCCTTTTCATAACCTATTAGCTACTTAGAAAAGCAAATTCGGCCAGCCGGGTGTGATGGCTCAGCCCTGTAATCCAGCACTTTGGGAAGCTGAGGTGGGCAGATCACGAGGTCAGGAGTTATGCTCTAAGCCTGGCCAACATGGTGAAATGCCATCTCTACTAAAAATAGAAAAATCAGGTGGGTGTGGTGGCTGGCGCCTGTAATCCCAGCCACTATGGAGGCTGAGACAGGAGAATTGCTTGAAGCTGGGAGGCAGAGGTTGCAGTGAGAAGAGACTGTGCTACTGCACTCCAGCCTGGGTGACACCGTGAGACTCTATCTCAAAAAACAGAAAAAAGAAAAGCAGATTCTGAAGTTGGGGACCATGGCTGGTTGTTCACCTGGATTCCTGAGCCCTGGAACATGGCAGGTCCTTAATGAATCCATGAGTGAATACCACAAATCAAAATGTAGAGACACCGCTTCATGCACTATGTAGGCTAAAATCGCCATGCATTTAAAATATCAATTTAAACAGTCTTTCATTTGCACAACATGTGGCTACTTTACTTTCAGAATATCTAGCTCCAAACTCTTATAATTGAAGTGTAAACTTGTGTAACGTAAGCATAGGTAACATCTTCTAAATGGAGGAGTGGACAGTTAAAAGGTGACATAATCTGTTATAAGATTTAAAAAAAAAACAACAACAAACACCCACTAATGAGTTTTAAGTCTTCATGTTTTTCTCTATTCTATGTTACTCCATTTGCTATATCTTGTAGAAAATTGTCCTGACATATTGTGAAGTAGGAGGAAAAAAGCAAGTGTCAGAAAAAAAGGAATTTTGGCACAAAAGTGTCCACATGAAGAAAGGAACGGCTTCTGATAGTAACTATGGTAAAGGAACTGTGTTTTCCTAGAAGTGGGTGGAAGTGAGTTGAGTGGTCATTGCTTTTTTATTTTTGTGCTTTTGTGTGTATTTATCTGCTTGTCTGGTAATCTCTGTTGCTTATTCATCCATACAGTGTACATCCTTACCTTTTGTAATACAAAAAAAACAATATTACGACCCTAATTGACTAGAGACAAGGAACAGTGATTGAGAGATAAGATTTTTTTAGTGAACCTATTTTAGTTAAACTATTTTGAAAATACCTACTCTATGTGGTAAGGGTTCATATTCATGTATTGTGTGTTGTCTTAAAAGACATCATGCAGTAACATCGTTAACCCTTTCTCTTATGTATTTTTTGGGACCTTGGAGAGCAACAGATCATGTTCATCCATATGTAAATTAATCCATTTGTCACTTTCACTGTATATTTTGTGTTGCAGGAGAATTAGTGAGGCAGTGTTAATTTCTGCACCTTAGCATAATTATTGTGGCATTGTCAAAAACAGTACAAGGCATCTTGACAATTACGGTGGAATATATTTTCCTTTAGTGACCATTATTATTGTTGGTTTAATTAAAAGCACTGATAGCTCAGGGTTTTCAGCAACATCTTTCTCACTGTCATAAATCAGAGAATTAAATTGTCTTATTTCATATCCTACTAAGTTTACCAAGGGAACAATAGCAATTCTAGTTTGTCAAAGGAGAGAAAGATGGGATTCAGATTCATCTTAACATTTAAGAATTGCAGCTTGAGTCAGTGAGAGACTGTGGTCAGATTGAGCCATTGGAAAGAGGAAGTCGGGTCACATTTTCACAGTAAATCAAGCTGATTTGGAATTAAAATGTACTTTGATAATTTGTTTACTTTTAATTTTTGTCACTTTGCAAGTGTTGCTGTTTATTCTTATGTAGCAAAATTACACTGAATATTTAAGGGCCATGATCCTGGTGAACCGTTTAACCAGCATATTTTGTTTAGGACAATAATAGAAAGTGGTGAAGGAGATAATCTGTTCTTTTGAGTTTATTTTATTCACAAACTGATATTTTTACAGGTTTTGACTCTTTAACCAAATAAGGCATTTCTTCCCCCTATGGAAGAATGAAACCATCTGATGATTGCCATTTAAGTTGAATCACTTGTAATGTAAATATTGAAATATAGAAATATTAGCAGATATGAGCGGTACACATCAGCATTCTAAGTTTGAAATTAATAATAATGAGACACTGACTAGTAGCTGGTTCTGTACAGTGCTGTATGCTTGTATAGGGTAAACAGTTACTAGCAGTGACCCTGATTTCATGGATGAAGGAGTTGAGGAGCACTGTCAAAGCTTGTCCTAGGCCACGTGGTCAAGAGAGATGCACCTAGAATTTGAGCTTGGAGATGTTTAATTAATTCTTAATTTAACTCTTGGGATAAGGTTTAATGATTACTGTTACTCCCTTGGGAGGGAGAGGACGATTCTTACATGCCATGCTAGATTTTCTATATTCATCATCTTTTTGATTCTCTTCTCACTAATCCTTTAAGGCATGTGCTATTAATTTCATTTAAGGTTTCATTAAGGTTTCAGGCTCTGAGAGGTTGGAAGTTGTCCAGAGTTACAGACAGGGTAAAGGACTGGATAGGGTTTGAATTTGTATTTGTGGTACTGGTGTCCATGCTAGTTCTATTACTTATACCTACCCTGATACAGACAGACCTAGAAGTCTCATCAGAATGCTGGATGGATGAGGAAGTGTGGATGAATCAGGCGTCACCCACAGAGACCGCATCTGTGAATGCTCTGCTAATATGGCAGGTATTATACTGCTATGGAGCCAGTAATAGTGGAATAATTACTGAGTAGGAGGCTCTCTTTTTGACTTATGTTGTCCCTTTGGCCAATTTAAAAGGACCTCTATGTACATAAGTAAGGTTAAGACACAGATTAATTAATCAAGTTTACACAAACAAGATGCTCACATCCACGTTTATGGTTAATCACGTTACTTGACCAAGTAGCAGTAGAGCATAATGGTTAAATCTGGGATTGAATTGAGTGTCAGTCTATAATGATGTGTTATCATTGAACTCATCTTGCAGATGAAGTTGGGGCTTGGAGGAATGCATAATTTACTGAAGACTGCCCAGCTCTGAACTGGAGGAGCGGGAGGTTCAGAGCCATACCTTCTCTGCTTAATCTCTGCCATATTGATGCATAGCCCTCTAGCCAATCCTTGTCATTTTAACATTAGTAACAGGGCTAGCTGAGTACCTCAGGTTACTACTTGAAGATTGCCTCTTTTAGACATGTTCTTGAAATGCTTTATTTACCTGAAAATGAGGAGAAACTTCAAGAAGTTGCTAAATAAAAATGTTAAAAAGCTGATTTTAAGGAAAACAAAGTGAATGCCATACAACTGGCTTGAAAAACAAAGAAGATGCAGCAGGGGGTTTGAGCACCCCTTGTAGGTTAATTTCTTTAGGGAAAAGAGTCTAAAGCTAAATTCCAAGGTTTGAGCCTTTTGAAGAATCTTAATAACCAAGATCATCTCCAATATAATAAACTAAATTTGAACACTGGACATGAAAAGAATAGGGAGGAAGACTATATAGATGTCAATAAATGGTTTTATTCTTTTTATTATCATTGTTTTGCTGAATTTTACACTGTTTTCCCTTTAGTAACATAATATAAACCTACTGGTCCAATATAAAATTATCATTCTGGTATGTTTCTTCCTATTTATTCCCCTAAATATTGAAACTTTCACATGGTTACAATGATCACATATTTACAAGATCATACCCAGTATATATTTTAAAATGTATTTTATGTTGTAAAACATTTTCCCAAATTATTAACTTTAAAACTGTGAGTTTGCAGTGTATGATGACTTGGTATACATAATTTACTTGAGAGTAAAAACATTTAAATTGTCTTTAATTAAAAGTGACACTCAGGCTTGTAACTTCGACCATTTATAGATTGTTTCCTTGGAATGGATGTGATTATGAAGCTAGAGAGTTTGAATATTTTTATGGCCCTTAATACATATTACAAATTAGCTTCCCTGTGGACCACACTTTACACTGCAGCCAGTTTTTAAGGCTAGAAATCTGGCATTGTGCCACAGAGGAAGCTGATGTTCTATTTGTTTTACAGGCATCCATGTTCTGGTTATAGGATGTGGCTCAGGCTCCCAAAGTGAGTAATAAAACAAAGTCATGTGTACGGTCCAACATGTATGTTTTGACCCTTAGCCTGAAAATACATACAGTGTTTTGTGACTTCCATAATTTAGAGTCTCTGTAAATTCTTTTTTTTTCTTTATTGAGACAGAATTTCACTCTTGTTACCCAGGCAGGAGTGCAATGGCGCGATCTCGGCTCACCACAACCTCCGCCTCCTGGGTTCAGGCAATTCTCCTGCCTCAGCCTCCTGAGTAGCTGGGATTACAGGCACACGCCACCATGCCCAGCTAATTTTTTGTATTTTTAGTAGAGACGGGGTTTCACCATGTTGACCAGGATGGTCTCACTCTTGACCTCGTGATCCACCCGCCTCGGCCTCCCAAAGTGCTGGGATTACAGGCGTGAGCCACCGCGCCCGGCCAATTCTTTAACTCATTTAGGAATTACATTATAACCAAAGAAAACTTAAATATGACTTAGCAGTGGTGAGCTGTGCTGGGTCAGCACATTAATAAGTGCCACCAAATGATTTCAATGAACATTTTGATTTCATTTGTTCTGAAACTAGAAAGAAGACACTTAATATTGGTTTCTGACTTTTAAGTAAATTTTAATTCCTCGGTTAATACTCTGAATGCAATGTACTTGCTGTACTTGGTAACAATGGAAAGCACTGAATTTGGTTTTGTGGCTTATGCTCTTTATCAATTATATGCCATTGATAAAGCTATCTCCCTCCACTGTAATACTGGGAAGGTTAATAAAGAGACAGCATGTTCATTTTAGTAAGTTCTGTACTGACCGAATGTGCAAATGTGGCTATTTCTGGTACATGTATGGCCTATCGGAAACTACAATAACAATTGAGACCAATTTAATAACTATTATACCAGTTACCTAGGCATTCTTGTAATTTAATATATTTAATGCATTTACATTCATTTGTGGCTCCATGCATATCACACATTCGTTCATTTATTCAACGACTTTTCACTGAGTACCTACCATGTATAAGGTACGTAAACCAGAAAATAGATAATGGTAAGTATTATTCCTTTGGAATGCAGTTATTTAACGAGTCATTTTAGGATTACTATAGCAGCATTATTAAATGAAAAATTTTGAAGTTATTCACATGGCGCAAAATCCAAGAATTAAAAGTTCAAAGGGGCATACCGGAAAAATTCTTTCTCTCACCCGCCTACCCAGAGCCACCAATTCTCCTCAAGAGGGTGATCAATTTTATAGTTTCTTTTCTTGAAACTATATGCCATATTTATCTAAATATATGCCATATTTCAAGCATATACCAACATATACATATTTAGATATATTTGCATATATGTTATATGTGTGTATACCTCATTTTTTCCCATGAAGATAGCGTGCGTGTGTGTGTGTGTGTGTATATATATATATATATATATATATGCTGTATCCATTATCTCTACCTACCTTGTATCACTTAATAAATTTTGAAAAGCTCTTCCAATTATTGCTTAAACGTTGGCTACATTTCTTTTTTTTCCTGTCAGCATGATATTTCGTTGTGTTAAATATTCTATTAATTTTGAATTCTTGTTTATATTTTTATAATTATTATAGATAACACTACAATGCATATCTTTACATAAGTTGTTTTTAGATTTACATTATCTTTCCTTAATAACTAGAATTGCAAATTAAAGTGGAGCAAGTTTCTATGGCTATTGAAAAATATTCTTCAAATTATAATCTGGAAATATTGACCTACAGTATACACAGAATACTATATTTTGTGTAAGAAGTGGGTGTAAGACTATGTTTGTATTTGTATATATGTGTTTCTGTTTGCACAAGAAAATCATGCATTTAGTTGTGAGTCAGTGACTGTGTCTGGTGCAGGGGTAGGAAATAGAGGTGGGAGGCAGGCTAATTACTATATACCTCAAATAATTTTGAATTTTGATCCATGTGAATGTATTGCTTTTTAAAAAATTAATATTAACTATAAAATTAAAAATTAAAATATATCTATTCTGTCATTTTCAATATATAAGTACACATGGATTTTTTTCTAATAATTTTATAGACTGGGATATTGAAAAAGTAGTATAATCAAGTGGAATGCAGGAAGTCACAAAGTGGACCTGGTCTTAGAACTTGTTCAGTTGATTGGATCTAATTCAGAGTTCTGTTGCTTTTATTCCTGATTTTCTTTTTTAAAAAGGAAAAGTTATGAAGTGTTTTCCAAATGTCAGTCATTTATGCTTCCCCTCCTCAGTCTTTGTCATATCTGTGAATAGCTTTCACTGTTATTCACTTACTACTTCTCTAAAATAATTTATTTTTATTTATTTTGGATTTTTATAGCAGTTCCATTAATGAAAAACCAATATTATTTTCCATGAGTAGAGGCTGCATACACTGGAGTTCCTTCAGAGAAGAAGAACCACTAGGTAATATTTATTAGAGGGTTGGTTTGGAGATTATTATTATTATTATTATTTTTGAGACAGACTCTCTGTCACTCAGGCTGGAATGCAGTGGGGTGTTCTCAGCTCACTGCAACCTCCATCTCCCGGGTACAAGTGATTCTTCTGCCTCAGCCTCATGAGTAGCTGGGGTTACAGGCACACACCACCACACCCAGCTAACTGGTTTGGGGATTATTTCTTTTGCACTTGTAGGGGCCTGAGGTTTGCAGGGTCTAGGTGCTCTTAGTGCTGTAGCCTGCCATCAGAAGTGAAGGTAGACATAAAATAGGGGGATCAAAGACAAACTGCAGCCTATGAAGATGGGCTGGAAGCATCTGATTTACAATGCTCTCAATCCACTAACTTCAAAGATGGGGTCATACTGTAAGGAGAAGAGCTAAGCAGGCACTTGGCTGAGGTTTCTGGAAGGAAGATCTGGAAGGAGCTAAAGTAGTTGCATCCCAGCTGTCGTCCATGCCACCCTGGTGAACCAGCATATCAGAGACAGTGTGCATGAGTGACAGTAGCATGCACTGACCTGAGTTTCCATTGGGTAAGGCAATATGGCTACCCTCACCTTCTCACATCCTGCAATATGGCTAACTATGCCCACCTTCCAGATCTCTTGTGATCTGCCCTAATTCTGACCTGTGCAGGGAAAGCAATTCTTTGATAAATAGTGCTAGCTTAACTGAGCCGACATAATACAGATCCGTTGCAAAAGATAACTAGAAGTAAATACAATGCAAATGAAACAATATTATTAAATTGTAACCAGACACATTGCTCAATGAAAGCACTGAGTCTGAGGCTTTCCCTTTGTTGAAAAGGAAGATTAGCAAGTTTTAGAGGGGTCTTAAAATTGTTACCCACTGAATGGAACTTCTTGACTCATTCAGAGGGACTGACATGAAAAATGAATATCTTTCTCACTGTGAGGTTCTGTGCCATTTGATGCCTCTCCCAATAGTTTCTTCTCCTCCCCCGACAGTTGAAGGAGGATACAGGGCTAAGTGGAGATGGTGTCATGCTATCCTTAGCCTTATCTGCATTTCTACTTCTTAAATGAATGAAAAGATGAGCTAGATGATCACATGGTAGACGGAAGGGGAAAGAGTGATTTTATTTTTCTATAGACAGAGTTCATTGAAGACCTGTCATGGGCACACATCATGGACAAATGTTGTGTGCATCAAAGGTTTGTTGGCTTTTGAGGTGGTGGGTGAGAAGCAAGCATAGTTTGGCTCATATCTGTGAAAAGTATTTTGGCATCTCAATACTCACTGGAGAATTTTGTGTGACTAAAGAGACCTCATGACTTTGAGTTTCTGGCAGACCCACTAACTGTGGATGGAAGCACCACAAGCTGGCTTCTCACTGAGATGCTTCCATTTGTATCTGTCCCAGTGGCATTCCCCAAGTGGTGTGTCCTGGATCCCCTCCATCCTTGAATCCGTGCCTCATCCCACACCCTGCTGCACAGGTGTGAATTGGTTCTGCAGTTTACCAGTGGTTTGACCTGGGGCAAGTCAACTTGAGTCCCTGCAAGGTAGGGATATTATATATTCCAAATCACTGGGTGGTTGTGAGGATTAAATCAAGGATTGCTCAATTATGATCCAAAGGCCAAATGTGCCCCTCTCTCCTGCTTGTTTTCTGCGAATAAACTTTCACGGGAACACAGCCACACCCATTAGTTTACGTGTAATCTGTGGCTGCTTGCATATCACACAGCACAGTTAGTAGAGCAGGTGTGGCAGAGACCCTGTGGCCGACAAAGCCTAAGATATTTCCTGAGAAAGTTAGCTGACCCCTGGATTAAACGAATATCTATAAATTCAATTCCCAAATGTTTATGGGCTACAGTGTTGAGGTACTGAGCCTGTAAGAGTGAAGAAACATAGACAAAAGTCCCTGTCTTCATGGAGCTTACAGTTCAAGAAGAGAAACAGACAACAAAGCAAAAAGAGTATGTAAAAAAAAAAATTTTACACACTCTGGAATGTAAAATAGATGTTAAGTGATCTGGTGGTATGGAGAGGGAAATGCAGGAAAGAAAGAGAAAAAGAAAAAGAGAAAGAGTATGGGGGGGAAGGCGCAATTTTATTTAGGTTGATTGGGAAATCTTCACTGAAAGAGTGACATGACATCAGAGCCATGTGGACACATGAAGAAGAGGGTTCCAGGCAGAAGGAACAGCCAGCATAAAAGAACAAAAGCCGTGAGGTGAGAGTGTGTCTCTGAATGTTCAGAGACCAACAGGGAGGCCAGTGTACTCAAAGCCCACTGGTGGTGGAGATGAGAAAGCCGAAGATGCTTTCAGTGGGGTAGGACTACCTTGACCACAGCCAGGACAAAGCATTTTGTTTGGCATGGGAAGGAAGGCACTAGTGGCTTGTGAGCTGGGGATGGTAAGCTTTTGATTGCATCTTAAAAGCGTCACTCTGGCTACATACAACAGCCACTGCGGTGCTCATGGTGGCTTGAACTGGGGTTAGAGCCGTAGAGGTGGTGAGAAGCAGCCCAACTCTGCCTATATTGTAAAAATAGAGAGACAAGAATTACCTGACAGATTTGGAGTGCATCAGAAAAGGAAGACAGAAATCACGAAGACTTTGATACTTTGACTTGGTCAGCTGAAGGAATGGGATTATGATTAATGCAATGTGGAAGACACAGAGATAGGGCAAGTTTTGGAGCCAAGGTTAAGAAGTCAAAATTGAATATGTTAATTTGGAGCTGCCCCTTAGGCATCAGGGTGGGAATGAAAATGCTTAGAACAATGTCTGCCATGTAGTAAATTTTCAATAAATATTACCTGTTATTATTACCATGATTGGTTTTATTATTGAGGGCTTACTCAATACATGTAATTTTATTTTATTATTTTTATTTTAGTTTATGAGACAGGGTCTTTGTCACCCAGGCTAGAGTGCAGTGACACCATCATGGCTCACTGCAGCCTCTACTTCCTGGGCTCTATGATCTCCCACTTCAGCCTCCCAGATAGCTGGGACTATAGGCATGTGCCACCATGCCTGGATAATTTTTAAATTTTTTTGTAGAGATGGAGTCTCCCTGGTTGCCCAGGCTGGTCTTGAACTCTTGAGCTCAAGTGATTCTCCCTCCTTGGCCTCTTAAAATGCTGGGATTAGAGGCATGAGCCACTGCTCCTGGCTTGATAAATATTTCTGAATACCTACTATCCATGTGTCAGCACTAGAGAAACAAGGCTTGAGTTTTGGTTTCTGTCTTCATGGCGGGAGATAGATAATTCCTGGCCATCATATGTGAGGTCACTGCTCTGAAGCAGTGCAGCTCCGGGGGACCCACAGAATCTGGCTGGGTCCTAAACATGATTTCTTTGAAGTTATTCTTGTCCTCATCTATAAAATAGGAACATCAACTTTATTTAGATAATGCATCTAAAGTGCTCAGTAAACATCAGCTCTTGGTATAACATAAAGGGTTCTATAAAATCAGTCATTTGTTTCACAAGCATTTTTTTGAGTACTTACCACCATGTTTTAGGATTTTGGAAAGTACTTGGGATACAGTATGAACAAGAAGACCCTGCCTTTAAGTGGATCGAGGGGGACTGAGTGGGGATAAATATATGAAAATGATAGGTCGAGGTAACAATTACATATAAAATTAAAATACATATGTTCTAGAGTAATACTGTCCAATAGAAATATAATTTGAGGCCACATGTGTAATTTAAAATTTCCTAGAAGCCACATTAAAAATAAAGTGAAATAGGTAAAATTAACTTTAATGCTATATTTTATATTAATCATATATATCCAAAATATTTTAACCCATAAAAATATAAAATTCTATATTTTCTACTAAGGCATCAAAAATCCCATATTTTACACCCTATTTTTTTAATCCCATATTTTGCACAATTCTTTTCAGTCTAGTCACATTTCACGTGCTTGAAAGCTACATGTGGCTATTGGTTGTTGTCACATTGCACAGTGCAGGTCTTGAATGGTGAGGTGTCTGCTTTAAATTGAATGGTCAGGGGAAGCTGAGACCTTATGAC